CACTGGCGCTGTTGTCCTGTGGCTCCCACCTCCGTCTGTCAGTGGATCAACAGCTTCCTGACAGACAGGCAGCAGCTAGTGAGGCTGGGAAAATACACATCCAGCACCCGTACGATCAGCACTGGCGCCCCCCAGGGTTGCGTCCTCTCCCCACTGCTCTTCTCCCTCTACACAAATGACTGCACATCTAAAGACCCATCTGTCAAGCTTCTGAAGTTTGCAGACGACACCACACTCATCGGCCTCATTCAGGACGGTGACGAGTCTGCTTACAGAAAGGAGGTTAAAGAGCTGGCTGTCTGGTGCAGTCTTAACAACCTGGAGCTTAACACGCTCAAAACTGTGGAGATGATAGTGGACTTCAGGAGGAACCCCCCTGCACTCCCCCCACTCACCATCATGAACAGCACTGTAACGACAGTGGAGACATTCAGGTTCCTGGGCACTACTATTTCTCAGGACCTGAAGTGGGACAATCACATTGAGTCCATTGTCAAAAAAGCCCAGCAGAGGTTGTACTTTCTTCACCAGGACTCCTGTCATAAACTCTGTGTAAACCACAAGAGTAGCTATATTCTTTACAAACAGTTTAAGACGTGGGAAAATGCACAGAATTACTGCAGGACACACCATATTGATCTGGCCACCGTTCAGACTGATGAAGACTGGACAAGTCTGAAAGAAGCTGCAGATGAACAACAGTTTTATGGCTTTGCCTGGATTGGACTGTTCAATGACATCAAAAGCTGGCGCTGGTCTTATAACGAGGAGAGTCTGGTGTTCGAATCCTGGGGTCTTGTCCAGCCAGATAACTACGGTTACGGACAGGAGTGTGCCGCCATCTATTTTGATGGAACTTGGCATGATTTCTACTGCACAGACTTAAGACATGTCATGTGTTACGAAGGTGAGAAACAAGTATAATCACTCTTTATTGATGCTCATTAATTCAGTGTATGAATGAAGACACCAATATAATGATATTAGGGTGGAAAAAAATTGACATCATAAACCAGTGTTATTTCAGTATCATTGAGATGCTATTATAGCTTTTGTAGGACCCTATGAAATCAGTTTTATTTTTTTCCCAAATTCCAAATTCAGTTTTTTACGTTAAAAATTTTTTCAACTGTTTTAATGGTTACATTTAAAAATATATATATTATTCAAAAAACATGTCTAAATAACTAAAATCATGAAAATTACAATTTAACAGCAATTTATTAAAAGTTTAACAAAAATTACATTTTAACAAAAGTAAAAATTTAACTTTTTTTTTTTTAAATCAAACTCTGCATTTTCCATTAATTTTCTGGATTTCATTTTAATGGTTTCAATCAATTTTAATAATCAAAAGCATCTCTAATTAATTGATTTTATAAAAAAAAAATAATAATAATAAAATATAAAAAAAATTATGATTATTTTATTTATTTATTTATTCAGAAATTCCGTTTTGTCTTTTTTCTGGTAAATACTTTTTCTTGCAAATATTCCTTAAAAGAGGTTTTAATAATAATTGTATTAGTAGTAGTAGTACTATCATTACATTAAGTAATATATTTCTGTCACATTTCTTCAAGTTAAACTGAACTTTATTTTGATGGGTTGCTGTGAAGACCTTTTCTGTGTGTATGTGATATGACGATAGTTTTACTCAAAAGAAACAGTAAAAAGCTCATGAAGCGACTCTCAGAGCGGTTTTAGAGATTATGTTCATATACTCATATATTGGGGCGGCAGAGGCTGAAAATGCTTCAATACGTGTGCAAATGACAACGCGCGTCTGCGCCATTCATATGTCATATGCCATACGCGTCTGCGCCATTCACACACAGAGACACGCAGTATTCATATTTTTGCAGCTTAATATCCACAGACACTAGTCCATATTGTGTTTTGATTTAAGTGTACTGACCTACTTTCGATTTATTCGTCCAAAGTTTGGCAAATTATGTGACATCATACAGACCACAATTCCATTTTATGACTGAATTCCATGATTCCATCCGTGTTTTCCGCATCACGGAAATCATAGGGTGCTACACTTTTGTTTATTTATATATTTTCTATTTTTATTTTATTGTAGTTACATTTTAGTCATTTTGTTGTGTTTGTTATTTTAATAAATTTTTGTTATTTTTAAATGTCTATATAGCTTTTAATAATTTTTATTTAAGTTTTATTAATTTTTGTACATTAAGATAAACTAAATGAAAATGGGAAATGTTGCCTTGAAAACTAGCTGAAATAAAATAAATGTACGTTTTTATATTTTATTTTATTTCAGTTAACATTTATTTTATTGCAAGTAATGATTTTTTTTTTCATATTCTTAAACTTTTGGCCAATAATGATAAAATTATAAAGTTCACAAGCATTCAGTACACCAAAATCACTTTATTTTGATACAGAAAATGCTGAAAGGAATGATAGCTTGCAGTTCAGATGTTGAGAAGCCAAACTAAGTTAAACATTCATCAGACCAATTCAAAGCAGTAACATTAGTGAAAATGGATCAATAAAAGAAGCTGCTCAAATGAGTAATTTGTTTGTGAATCGGACTACACTAGTTTGTTTTTATGAGAACAAGACAACTCCAATAAAAAAGTACAGTCTTTTAATCTAATCATATTCAGTGTGAAATTACACTGACAAATTGGTTAAATCTAATGTTTTTTGTTTGTTTGTTTGTTTTTTGTGCCATGGCACATGAGATTCAGCATTGCAGGTTAACATATTGGTACCGTGATAAGCAAAAGTATATTGCCCACCCAAAATTATATATTTCAATTATATATTTAAAGGGGTCATATGATGCTGCTAAAAAGAACATTATTTTGTGTATTTAGTGACGTGACATGTGGCCAGGTATGGTGACCCATACTTGGAATTAGTGCTCTGCATTTAACCCATCCAAAGTGCACACACACAGCAGTGAACACACACACCCGGAGCAGTGGGCAGCCATTTTTTTTGCTGCAGCGCCCGGGGAGTAGTTGGGGGTTCGGGGCCTTGCTGAAGGGCACCTCAGTCGTGGTATTGAAGGTGG